TCAGCTGATCATGAGTAGGGATAACTTTCAAATGGCCAAGAAACCTGAAAACCTAAGGACTGAACCACTTCTAATGCCTGTGCAAACAACAACCTGATGTTGAAACTGGAGCGGTAGGCTTAGAGCGACTGGTGAGTCACTGCTCATATATAGATGTTGTTCAGCTGAATAAATAGGTGTACTGAAGAAATACTTTTCCAGTTGGTTTCAAGTGAGAAAATATGGCCTCCAGACTACCAGTTAGCCTTTCTGTGTAAACCAGCAGTAGGGTGGTTTAAATCATATTCATCTAACCGATTACAATGTGTTAATGTTGATGATAAATCTCATGCTTCAGCATTACCTGTAGAGTACTACAGGGATCAATGCCCGGACCTTTTCTCTTTACTACACACAGTAGTATCCATTAAAAATGGCCCTTCCCAGTCAAAAGCCAGCCGGATGGCAGCCAACTTCCCTGCTACTCCCAGCAAAATCCCAACCAACTTCCAGCCCCTGGAGTGAGCCCCTCCTTTTCCTGGGTGTGCATATTTTTTTACTTTGACTCCACCCTTTTACTGAATTACAGGGTCTGACCAGGAGAAGACACTTTTCTTTAGATCTTAATTGTCACAAATCCTGACAGAAAGAACATTTTAGTACAATAATTGATGTTTAAAAAGGAATTGTATGGGACCAGCCGAGGACCAGCCAAGACAAGCCAAGGACCAGCCAAGGGCCCATTAAGGAAAGTGTGGACATTTTGATTAGCTACTACTGTATATGCTCCCAATCGGTAGAATTATTAGACAGCATGGAATTCATTTCCACTGTTATGCTGATGATACTCAGCTATATCTGTGTATAAATCCAGATAAAGCAAACCCATTACAGACTACAGGGATGTCTAGTAGACATCCCTGTAGTAAAAAACTCTTAAGTTTCTGCTCCTGAACGCAGACAAAACAAAAGTAATAGTCTTTGGACCAGAGTCTTTGAAAAAGAAGCTGATTAGTCAGTCACTTCATTTGGATGGGATCAAATTGATCTCAGATAATAAAGTAAAAAAACTTGGTGTTATTTTCTATCGGGACCTATCTTTTAAATCCCATATCAAAAAGGTTTCTGGAATTTCCTTATTTTATCTGCGGAGTATTGCAAAAATTAGAAATATCCTGTCCATGGCTGATGCTGAGAAACTAGTCCATGTATTTGTTACTTCAAGGCTGGACTATTATAATTCTTTACTATCAGGAAGTCCACAAACTGTGGTTAAAAGCCTTCAGCTGTTCCAAAATGCCGCAGCCAGAATGCTTATGAAAATTAAAAAGAGACATAGTATCTCTCCTATAGCTTCCCTTCGTGGTTTCCTGTTTAATCCAGAATAGAATTCATAATCCTCCTTCTTAGATATAAACCCTTAAATGGCCAACCTCCATCTTATAACAGAGCTCTGATTGTTCCTTATGTTCCTAAAAGAGCACTTTGATCTCAATCTGCAGGTTTACTAGTGGTTCCTAGAAAGCTTTGAACCAATCTGACTGTGATGTGGTTGAATTGTCTCTGTAAACTGCCCTGAGATTACATGTGTTGTAAATCTGCGCTATATAAAAAAACTGAATTTAACTGAATTTCAGCAGAAGCCTCACTGCAAAAAGTCCAACTTTCCCTTTAAGCTTTACTCCCTTTATTGTTGTTGGGACTCTTATTTTAAAACAAGAAAATACAAGTTTTTAAGTATTATATAAATATATATATATATATATATATATATATATATATATATATATATATATATATATATATATATATATATATATATATATATATATATATATATATATATATATATATATATATATATATACATTTTTTTTTTTTTTTTTTAAGGTAGGTTGTTAACGCTTATAATCTATCAAACCAGACTTGGTTAAAAAATCCTTGTAATAGCCTCCACAACTCATAAATTATCTTGCAGCATTTTGGATATTCAGTAGAAAACAAACTGCATCAAGCATCAAGTATAATTGAAAACACCATATGAAAGCAAAATTGGCTAATTACTAACAAATTTGGCCTTTGTGTCACTGTGGGCTTTTGGTGCATTTTATCATATCTTGGTACTTTTTCCTATCAAATATTTTCTTTCAATCTTTCCACTAATACGCTTTGATACAGTACCTGATAAAAAGCCAGCTACTTTAACAATGACCTTTTGTGATTTACCTGTCAAACAGAGGATGTTAATGACTGTCTTTTGAAAACCTGACAAGTCATTAGTCTTCCAAACAACTGGGTATGCCATAATATGGAATTTATGAATAAAAAATAATATCCTTTTTTATAGATCTTATGTGTTTTTTAAGACAATGATTTTTCACCAATCATCAAAACTGCGGGACCTTAAATACTTGAATTATTTGGCTGTATTTATATTTAGTCTATATAGCATATAAGCAACTCCTTTTAAAATGAGTCAGAATTTTTTTTCCAACATTCTAATATTTGGAGCTTAACATGTATTTATCCACTTACTAAACACCCACACAGGATCAAATATGCACACAGTTTTGTTGTGACTAAGAAACAGGGTAGCTATTAATCAGAGTGTTTGCACCAAGACCATAATTGCCCTCATTTGTGATTTATAAAAAAGCTTTTAACATGAGTAGTTTTAAATTGGTCTCCCCCTACTTTCACTGCTGGGTGTGAAAAAATGCTGTCTGACTCTATGTCATTGCTCTCTTTAGATTGACAAAATAGCATATTTTATTTTTCTCAGAGGAAACTGAACAGAAGACAGCACCAGGAAGGAAAAAAAGGGAAATTAATTCATGAATCATTATGCTGTGAGTTCCAATTTCGCCACATTGTTTGAAAAAAAAAAAGACACTTTCCCTCCTCCATGTCAGGGTTAGTTTTTCTGTAAAATGTGATCTCACACATTGTGAGGCATGAGTCAAAGGTTTTTTTTTTGTACTTTAAAATAACATTTTCTTCTAAAACACTTGGATGACAAACACATTTGAAAATATTCTTATTCTTATGGTTGTTTAATGTCAAAATACTCTGGTATTCTACAAAATCACTTAATTTAAGGGTGGTTTATTGTTGAAATATTAAGATTTTGCATAGAAAACTAAAAAAGAAATTACAGAATACAAACTACAGAACTTTGCAGACAAAATGTTGGCAACTTTTTATACTTAGCCTTTTCCCTGCTGTACCCAATATATTGGTAGACTCTAGGGGGCAGTGTAACCTCTTGCCAGTGGGGTCCTTAAAGGAAAATTCCGGTTTTTAACACTTTTAGCCCCTTTTCTGTAGTGTCCAGGATGAAATCGAATGATCGACACCAAAATTTTGACGATTGGTCCTGTCTCTGCTATTTGGCTCATGCAGAATCCCCCCCTGGCTGCTTCAGAATGGCTTTCATAGTGCATGTCCGAAAATGTCCTTAAAACAACCTTAAACGTTCTTTTTTTAAAATATGCTACTCACCAGGTCGTCAGCTCTGTTCAATGACGTTCCAAAAAAAGTTTTGTGAAGAAAAACCGTTCCTGTCTTGTTTTATTTAGCAGTTTGTAAATCCCAGAACTATTTTTTCCGATACATCACAACCGCTTATAAACTTCCGCTTCCTGTTCGAATCTGAAGCGTTGCACACTCCAGACCACTAGTTGGCGACAATGTCTCTATACTTTGGGAATGTATATGAATATGTCCTCCTCAAGAAACCATCTTTCGTATTCCATTTTCAGAGTTTTTTAAAGTGTTTAAAAGAGACGTTAGCACCTCAACGTCGGAGTACACAGAGTGAAGCAGAAACACTTGGGCCTTGCGAAAAGACTACAACTAAGGGTAAACAGGCCCCCTTTCCGTTTCCGGTGGCGGAGGGATATTGACTATTCCAACAGAACTCAATGGGATTTACAAAATGCTAAATAAAACACTACAGGAACGTTTTTTTCTTTACGAAACTTGTTTTTGAACGTCATTGAACAGCGTTGATGACTCGGTGAGTAGCATATCTAAAAAAAAGAAGGTTTAAGGTTGTTTTAAGGACATTATCGGACATGCACTATGAAAGCCATTCTGAAGCAGCCAGGGGGGGATTCTGCATGAGCCAAATAGCAGAGACAGGACCAATCGTCAAAATTTTGGTGTCGATCATTCGATTTCATCCTGGACACTACAGAAAAGGGGCTAAAAGTGTTAAAAATAATTTGGGCTGGTTGCAACAACATAGAGAGGCGTGGATGCTAACATGAAGTCATTTGGTCACATGGTGCTGTGAGGACCTCACAGATATGTTAAACATAAACCAACCTTTAGAATTACCATAAACACAAAGTCATTAATGACCGTTTAGCATATTTTAATGAAGTAAAAACTGTATAATCATTATTAAAGTTTTTTTATATATATCTAAGGGAAGACTGGATACATTCCTGGTGAAGGATTAACTTTTGTTGCCAAAAATTTCTTTTCTCTCTTTTTTTGCTCTCTCTTGCCTTTGCTTCCAGAACCAATTAGATATGGTACAAACATAAAGCCACATATGTATTACCTTATTTTTATAGCTAATTTTTGCAATCATATCATGGGTTTTAGACATAATTCAACATAATTCAATCAAATGCATACAGTGCATGTGCTTTACTTCCGTCTTGCGCATTTTAAATATAATTTCAGGATGTTTAGGTTGAGAGTAACAATGTCTATTTAAATGATGACTCCCTAAAGGTTTGGCTGCTCTAAAAAAAGGAGTTTTTAAACGAAAAGTAAGGAAATTATTCTCTGCTAATCTAGTTTTGCTAACAGTAGAGACAGCATATTTACTTTAATACATTTAGGGTGTTAACCTTGGCAGTCCGATATTGACACAGCTTTGTTACATCAACATTTTGTTGCAAGAAAGTATATTTGTGAAAGTTTAGTTTTACTGCAGTGCCCTTCTCATGTGAAAAGGCTGACATGTTTTTGGATTTAATTTAATGTGAGAGTGTGCCTGTACTCACAGATATTAGCCGTGCCCTTGGGAATGGGCAGGTAGGAGCCAGCACTCCATGCTCGCCCTTGGTAGTTCCTCTTACAGCGACCACAGTCCGGCCCGGTGGTGTTGTGCTCGCACTCGCAGCTCAACTTCTCTTTGTCAAAGACGCAGCTGTTGGCGTGAAGATTGCACTTGCACCTGTCAAAGAGGAAGAGGAGGCATTCAGGATGGGGATGAAAGAGGACAACTACATCAATAAGGGGGGGTTGCATCTCTGAATGAAAAGCAGTTTTATTTATTTTGTCGGACAGTAGGGCTGAAAGGCAGAGCGTCCTTGACAAAGAGGTGGTACTGGAACAAACAGCAGCTACTTCAAGAGGTGCTGGTTCAAAGGAGACGGGCGGCTGCACAAACAAATCTAACATCATTATTTCCTCGATCCTTGTCTTTTTCTTCTCCCTTTCACTGGGGAAGCCAGCTCCTTTTTAATTGTCCCACAGGAGGATGCATAATTGTCACAGTCAAAAGGAGATGGAACAGGGTGTGGGAGAAAAACAACCAAGGCAGAGTGAGGTGGAGGCAGAGAAAAACAAGACAATGCAAATTGTGAAACAAGCTCTCAAAGAACGAAGGCATGGAAAAGGCTTACAGCCATACGAGACAATGAATAGCTTAGACTTAGCCAGAGGGCTGCAGGGAGCAACAGTGAGAATACCTCCTCTGTGACAAATTAACATGAGATGAGATCTCACAAGCATATTTCCAATATGGGAGGAGGGACTCCCTTAAGGTGAGCTAAATCCTCACATTCTGCTGATTAACAATAAACTCAGCTGTCGCCGTGGCTAGATGAATCTAAGGGGATCTTTGTCCGCTCCATTAATTTATCAGGCTCATGCTTTATGAAGTGTGCGTAGGAAAACACAGAATATTAAGGCACCAATTAGTTGAGAACATGAATGAGTGTTGGAAAAAAGGAGAAAAATGCAACACAGAGATTTAAAATATTGAGTTCAGAATGTCACATTTCTACCTGCCTTATAATTATATAGAAACAGAAACTTTAAATCTGTCCTTATGCATAGATTCATTTTGCATAACAATCCTTTGTTATTATCTGAACGTGGATTACATTTCAAATGGGTTCAATTTAACAGAAGCAAAAAAAAAATTCTAATGTCATGTAGTCTTCTCACTCTATATATGGTCTTCATTCGTGTAGTTAGAACAATACATAGATCTTCATTGACCAAGAGGATTGTAAGACGACTTTTAGCTTAAAAACTCTCAATATTTGTAATCATATCATATTCCTTTTTTACACTTTGTAAAGCCACTACAAATCTCAATGTATTTTCTATCAGCTTACTTGAAAAAGCAGTATAAAGTAGTGCAGGTAATTGAACTGAGAAAATAAAACGTGCGTCACTACCAAAAAAAAAAAAAACCCTCCAAAAAACTGAAAACTGGAAACTCATAGAATTTTTAGTCCTAATTCGACCTGTATTACACTCTTGATGTAATTATTTGAAACAAAATGGAAGTCAGCCATCTTTGAATTCGTTTCAAATTGTGACTCAGACTTTGGTCTTTGTTACCAGGCTTTTGACTAATAAACCTAACATTTGGTCTTTGGTTTCTGAGCCATGGGGGTTGGGGAGGGGTCTGAAAATGTTGCCACAAAAAAACCAGTTTGATTGACCGCCTTCAAAACTGACCTGTGTAAAGTATATGCTCAGTGTGATTGAAATGCTCTGTGATAAAGGCTTTTAGAGAACATTGATGAATAAACAGCATCCAGGAGACCAAGGAACACAGCAGAGCGTCATAAAGCTTTTTTTGGCTGAATTAGACACCTAATTAGAATTAGGTGTTAGGTTACAAAACAATTAAATTCAAGTTTTCAATCTCTCACTGAGCACGTTTGACTTTATAATCCAAAAATCACATGTGATAGAGCAGCTGAAGAAATCTAAAGTTTGTGAGAAAAAAATTTATATTATTGGACAGCTATTAATCATTTATTTCAAGAGTCTGTACTTTCAAGAAGAACAGCAAGAAGAAAACCATTATATTAAGAAAACAATACAAAGTCCTGTTTGAAGTTAGCCACTATTTCTGTAGAATAGGGGAAGCAGTAAAATCATAGAGGAAGATACTCTGATCTGATTTAATTTTACTTTTATTTATACAGGTTGTCTCATTAAGATTCAAGATCTCATTTACAAGAGAGACCTGTTTGGATAGGAACAAACAAAACTATAAACACAGCAACAAAAAGGTTTGACTCAGTAAATAATAAAATGAACTAAAAGCATGAACAAGTTTCATAAGAAGATTTCTCTTTTTGTCTTAACAGAGACTTAAATTGTCCTAAGGGAATTGAGGTGGAAAGCTTCAGATCCCGTTGCAGAGTATTCCATGTTGATTGAGCTGAGAGGAAGAATTTTTGTTTTTCCAAGTTCAGACGGTACTAATGGAACAGTGAAGGAGATCAAGTCCTGCGAGCGTAGCCTGTGGCGAGACTAAAGCAGGGGTATGAGGGCAAGTAGGGCGGAAGCAGTCCAAGGATAGTTTTAAAGATAAAAATGAACAAATGCAGGAGTCTACGAATGGATTATGATGGCCAGCTCACCTGAGAATATAATTGAAAGGGGTGAGTGAAAGATTTGTACATTCTGTTATGAACGTTAGTGACAGGTGCCTTAAAATAAACAACATTACCATAAGCTAGATCAGTTAAAACAAGTTGCTTCGTTGCAATGAAAGAAAAACATTATATATATTTCTAAGGAGGAAGCCTAGTTTTACCTTTAACTTCTTTAAATGATTAATATGCAACTTTAATAACAGTTTATGGTTGATCTCTGCGCCAAGATACTTGTTTGTCTCAACATAATCAGCATACTGACCTTTGTTACAAGAGTAGGAAAAATTTGTTCAACTTTTTTATTGTTATCAAACAGCATGATGTTTGTCCTAGCAGCCTTTAAGAATAGTTTCCGTTGGTTCAAGTCAGACTGAATATTGTCAAATAAGAACTGCAGTACTGTAGTTTCCTCCCAAAATCCATGGGAGCAAACTACTGTACAGTGTCATCAGCATAAAAATGTGTCATTTTTCACCAACATCATCTACATGAACTGAAAATAGTCTAATAATCTAAAATTAAACCTTGTGGTACGCCTTCTGTCATCTTTCAATAGTCTAAGGTCACTGAGTTGCATGAATGGTCTACGATTTGACAGATAATTAGAGCACCATCCTAAAGAATATGAGACTAAACCTATGCCATGACAAAAAAGCAATGTGTGGTTAGAAATTAGCAATAGAAATCATCTTGCATACATATATTCGACTTTAGAACAGGTGGTGGCATCATCATATGGTGTTCTTGTCAATGAAAGGAGAACTGGTCAGAGAACTGGTCGGAGAATTTTTTAGCCAAATCCAGATAACCTGCTAGAGGTATTGGAACTAGCCCTTATGTTCAGCTGCTAAAAAGACAATTACTCAAATAAAATGTAAGGGTTAAAATGGAACAAATTATTTCAAAGCATCCCATTTCACAAGCTTGGATAGCCTTCACCAAATCCAGCCAAAAATACAATTGGAAGGGAAACTTTAACATTTCTGTCTAAGGTTGTTTTTCATCTGATCTGACTATTTGTGCAAAGCAGAATGAGCAGAAATGTCCATGTGTGAAAATGGGTAATGATGTGATTGGATTTAGTTTTACAGAGCATTAACTTACAGTACATATGGATGCAGCAATTTTCAGATTTTGTTGGAAATATTGTTTAATGAGCCACACATTCTGTTCTCACTGATCAAGTACTTATATTACTGTATGTATAGTTTGTGAAGAACAGCTCAGCTTCTTGAGTGTTATTTAAACTTCAGTAAACTGAGCCCAGCAGGAATTAAGAAGGGAAAGGGAAAGGACTCAGATTTGATGAAATGCAATCCAGGCTAAAGCTGACCAATGCTGCCGGAACGATGCAAATATATTGGCTCTGACTCTGACTGCAACGCTTCTAATGTTACTCCCGCTATCTGCAAAGCTCAAAAGTCCTTTCCCCGATCCATAATAATAAAATCACAGATTCACCAAAGGTAAACAGATACAGAAAGCAGGCTGTAGCATTTATTTCAGCTGTCCACGTTTGTCTGCTGACATTTTGAGATTTATTACTCGTCCACATAAGAATATTGAAGCTTACATATTTGCAGACATTTGATATTACTTTGTGATTTGATGTGATATACCTACGAATGTCAAAACATTTTTCATGCCTTTCAGGTTTTTTTGTTGTTTTTTCCATACTGAATGTATAATCTAGACCTTTTTTTTTCAATACATTAACTAAGAAGTGGACCAACTTTTAGATTATAGTTGCCATTTAGGATTCTCTGCTAAAGGTCACCTTGACTATGACACTATTAGGCTCTGAAGGATTAATATTAATCTAACTCTGAGATATAACGGCCATAAATGAGAATAAACTTGCTCAGGCTGATCAGATCAAAATGAAGGTGATAGAAGCAGCTCTATCACTCCTCTCTATGTTACAGATGTCAAGAGTTTGTGAAGACACATGTATGCGCGTGCGCAGAAAACAGCATATGAACCCTTTGTGGTTTAACCTTCAGCTTCTTTCAACATCGGCAACATTTTAATCAGCGTCCAGAAATGATAGCGCCGTCGGCATAATGATGGAGGCCGCCGGTGAGGCCCATAGGGTTCCATAGCCCCCAGCGCTGTTATGTTTCCAATCACGCAGTCGCTCCCTGAACACAACTGCCGGGTGAGGCCGGTAAGGCTTCCAGAGGAGGAGCCAGCCTGACGGCTATTCAACATTATTTCAACAGCCAGCTCCCCGCAGGGCTTTAGATGTTACATCTTCAACCTGTCTTTGAAAGAGAGCCACTGCTCCTCTGTTGCCGTTTGCATCTTACTCCTCGTCTTTTCCTTCTACCCACCTTTTAGTTTGCCTTTTAAACTCTGCTTCCACGTTTCCAGGTCATGAATATTCATGCCACTGAGATGTCTTTGTTTTTGTGCGGCGCCCTCAAAGTGAAATTGCTCAAGGCATTTCAGCCACCAGTGAGCTAAAGATCCTGAAATGTATTCATGAAATCCCCCATGAAGGAGGGAGCTCAAACTGCAGAACTAGCAGAACAAAAAAAATAACAAT